ACCAGCCTGCCCTCGAGAAATAACAGCTTGAAGCTTTTCTATAGAAAAACACAGAAAATCACAGCTCAGCCCCCCTCCAGGCAAGATTTATCGATACCAGTCCTCTTCACCCCCCCGCCCCAGCACGCAGGGACCCCCCGCCAAGGTTTGAGGAGAGGGGACGAAGTGAAGGGTTTTAGGAACAAATGCAAGTTTATAAAAGCTTTTATTTGCTCTTGGTATGACCAAGAATGGGACAGTGATCTTTTATACAATTTGATACAGTAAGTGGTACAAAAGAACGTGTTTTAAATAAAAAGCCAGAGTGGAGTAGCAAAAATATTAAAAGATTAAGTAAAAAATCATAGGCATGGGAATTAATCCTAGACCGTAAGTCGATGCTGTTTTTTCCACCGTCCGAGCGCACAAAGCATCGCTTTCACCCCTGCCCCGCAGCACTGACCAGAGAGCTGTTAACGCGCTTGTAGGACAGATCCAACCTCAGATTTTAGTTTATCACAAACAATTTAATCAAAGTTACTTTTTTTTTTTTTTTTTTTTTTTTTCCCTGAAAAAAGGTAGCGCTGAGCCTTCCCCCGCCGGCTGGGGCAGCCCCGGCCAACGCTGCTTTCTGCCTCCTTCCTTCTCTAGGCTGGCCAGGGCTGGGGAGGGGGTCCTCCGAGGCGAGGGGTCACAAGCAGTTAGTTTGCGAGCTAGCAGGAAGTTTAGATACCGGCAGAAATAAAGTTACCGCAAATTCCTCCAACATGATTATTATTTGTTTTGTTTTTTAAAGCATCTCTCATTGCTCACTCCTCCTCGGCTAGGCCTTGCACTCACAGCACAACACAACGCCAAGCCCCAAGCCCCGCGGTTAAAACTCGTGGATTTGAGGTGAACAGAAGCAGAGCGTCTAGAACGATCTCGGTTTATGACCTGGGGTGGGAGGATAGGAAACGCAGGCTGGAGCAAGGAGCACCAGCGAGTGGCCCCTTCTCTACCTGTTGGCTTGCAACAAACACAGCGGCTACAAGGGATCCCAAGGGAATTACAGAGGGAGCCAAGCCCCTGGAAGCAAATAAAAAGCTCACGTTTAAAACAACGATTATAGAAAAAAAAAAAAACCCAAACCCTTTGATGTCTATTTCTCCATTTTTCCCTTTTTGATACGGTCAGAAAGTGCAGATTCAGCCAAGGGTCGCCGTACTCTATTTACAACGCCGACCGGCCAGCACGGGATGGGAGAAACCCAACGGTGGCGATGGATCTGCCGGTCCCTGCATCCTGCCCAGCACCAAGAGCCACTCAACAGGGAAGGGTTAACACAGGCGGAGACAAAATGCCAAAACACAGAGGAACAGGGAGACACCCGCTGGGGTTACTACACAGGAAGCCGTTCAGAACCAGAGGCTCAATGCTAAAACACCGTCATTCCGTTACAATTCAACGTTATTTCATGATTTATCAGAGACAGCCCCAAACCCAAGGGACAAGAGCGAGGCACAGGCTTGTCCAGCTTTGCAGGAGAAGGTGGGGCCTGGGGAGGAGGAAGAAGCATCTATTTAAAAAGACCTTTTTGTCCTCGGCCGGAGCAGCTCTGCTACGTGGTACTTTAAATGCAAGGCAGCGCCCAAGGCTCCCGCAGACCGCGCGGGTCAGCCTGGCAGCCCTCAACCCCTTCCTCCCAGAAATGACGAAGCCACGCCATCGGTGACGGCAACGGGCAGAGCGAGGAGGCGAGCTGGAAAAGCAAGTCCATCCCCGCAGGGAGACTCACCCAAGTACCAACAACTCGGCTGTTAACGCTGGAAAATGGAAGAGTTTTCAGGGAGGTAATAAATTAAACTGCCAACTTTTATTTTTTTAAAAATTTTAAATTCGAGTTTCACTCAGCCTTTTGCTAACGTGCTGGAGCGGCCGACAGTTAAGAGAGAACTGAACAAGTTCAGGTGAACTGCTGTCAGTTTGGGGATCGCATGTTATATTCATACACATAGACAACCACATCACCCTCCAGAGAAAACTAGTGCATGCAAAGAACTCGTCCATATCATAAAACCCAACGGCTATGCAGGAGGAGAGGAGAAACTAGTGACTGACATTGGCTAGAGGGACATTAGTAGGTATCGTCAACATTTCTTACCTCGAAAGCTAAATCAGTGCTTTGTATTAAATCTTCTGGCAAACGTAGCGCGTTGCCATCCTTTTAATTAACACATCACACCATGAAGAAATGCAAAGAAAAGCAGCATGCAGGCAAAAGGAAAGAGCTGCAAGTGAGGGGGGGAAAAAAACGGCAGCAGGAACAGTTCTGAATGGCTAGATCACCAGAAAGGAGACACAGCAGATTAAATGTAATTTTTTTTTTTTTTTTTGCACCACCCTTTGTCCTCGATGCATTACACCAACAGTTACAGAAAGCAATCACAAAAGAGTTCGGTGTTTTGAAATGGTCAAGTATGGATGGTATGTCTCCTGCACATGCTTCCACCAGAAGAAAAGGAAAAAAAATAAAATAAAGTGAAAACAAAAGTTTCTTTCCACATAAGGCACAGGACAAAATAAACCCCATTGACAGACTCAAGGCGAAAATGAGAGTTTTCCTGGCATCTAGAGAATATGGTGACTCAAGCACATTATCCACGACAGAAAATTCCACTGTTGTACAAAATAAATTGTTAATTCTAACTTTTATTCTTATACAATTTGCAGAAGAGAGTTGAATATGATTGCTAGATGTTTTAATGTCAGGAGGAACGGGACTATAATACAACCAAAACGTAGTGGTAAGTCGAGCAGGTACATGAAGAAATGAAGTCATGGAGATGATTTTCCTACACATGTTGTTGAGAAAAATTATAGTACGCAAGCTGTCCTAAACGGAAAAACAAAAGGGAGACAGGAGCTCGTTAAGATGAGGAACAAAACATCGGGTTTAAGGTTAAAAACGGGCAGAGTGGTTTGTTCTGCAGCGAGAAAAAAGGGGCGGTGGATGGCGATTGGTGATACAGGAGAAGGTTCAGCAACACTTGCTCTTCCAGCCCGTCACCCCACCTCCACTGCTGATATCTACATTTTCACTGTTGGGCTCTTTTACAGGGGTCTGCAAGGAAACAAGCGAAAAAAAAGTTAGATGACTCCTGAGACATTCTGAAACCAAGTATTCCGAGCTGAGGAGACAGCAGGCTCCCAGCACCAACTAATAACAGGGATAAACTGTGGGCAAAGAGCTCCACAGAAAGGTAGGGAATCCTCCTCCCTGCACCCGCAGAAGTAAGCAAATCCAAATTAATGGTGGTTTTCTGTTTTAAATCAACTACAACTGGAAAGCTGGGAAAAACACTTCTGAACTCAGACCACCCCAAAGTCAACTGAAACTATTTCTAGATCCCGCTCTCAGAACTGACGCTTGGGCTTTGGTGGAGTAAGTAAATCACAGCAGACAACTCACACAAGCTGAAGTGCAATTATGTGAACCAGTGACCTTAAAAAACCACAGAGGAATTCATGGATAAAGAGGGGTTGTTCCAAAGCATCGGCCTGCCAGTTAACCAGGACACCCGTTTCTGAGGCAGCAGCCAAAGCAGGCTCGGCTGCGTCACAGGGTGTAAACTTGGTGAGACCAAAGTGAAAAAAAAAACCAAAAACCAAAGTCCAGTGGTTTTGCTCAGACGTTAACACCTTCCTTCAGCTGTTTAGAAACTAACTTCACCACTCCGGGGAATGCCGCAGTTTCGTCTCTCTGTTCCTTTTCTTACTCTCTTTGGCACAGCCTTGCAAAAGCAACCCCCTCCCTGTTCTTTGGATAAATACACTGAGGCCCAAAAATAAAAGTGGAAAGGTGGAAAGGGTCAGCAAGACTTGCCAGCCTGACCTCCTAGGCCAGGGATTTCCATCCAGTTTTTCACGTAAAACTGGTCAGAAAGTGACTGCAGAAACAACTCGGAATTACAGCAGCGAACCAGGCGTCGCTGAGCTGATGAGTATTGAAAAGGGTTGGGAAAAGGTTCAGCGGTGACCTCGCACCACATTCCCAGGCAATTAGCTCCAGTGCCACCATCAATAACAGGGGAGGGAGGTGGAAGACAGCGATGAAGGCAGGCTCCAGCCAGAGCAGTCCCTACCTACGCTGGAGCCCAGAAAAAACCCGTGGTCAGCCGTTCAGGAGCAAAGCACGTGTGCTAGAGTTGGCCGAGCCACATCTCCTGAGCTCCACAGAGTTTCAGTGCTGGAGGGGCAGGAGCCGATCCAAGCTAGCACAGGGGTCACTGGGGAAATCCAGCCCTTGGCCATGGGAGTACATCAACCAACTGGGATCACCCTGGAGCCACCCACCAGCTCAATCCTGCAACAAAACAGTAGCAGCTACTGGAAGCCAATGTGTTTTCTACTCATGAAAGACACCAGGGACAGGAGAACAGCAGTATCTGCAGTCTGGGCGTACCAAGATGTGGGTACAGACAATGCTGCGTATCACTGGAGATGGTGGCAGGGACAGGACGATGCTCTTCCACGCCAACTGAGATGTTTTGACTCCACGCACGTGTACAACACAGCCATGAGAGTAAGGGCCAAACAACTACGAATTTACGTTCCCTGGCTCTTTGAGGTATCCTGCTCTCTCTAGACAGCACCCCTAAACCCATGAAACATCCAACAAGCTTTAGAAGCTTTAGATGTCCAGCAGTCCTCCTGCAGGGACTTGTTTGCCTTAGCATGCCAAAGTCAGAAGCTGCAACAATTCAGGTAAACATCAAAACAACAGGAGCTGAAATTTTAGCATTTTTTTTTCAAATGAAAACTGTAAGAACCTACCTTTCGAAGAATGTCTTCTGCTAATGTGAGGAATGCCTTCTCAATGTTTATATTTGCTTTTGCACTAGTTTCGAAAAACCTAATACCATGCTCCCTAGCAATCTAAACCAAAAAAGAAAGAAGGTGGTTAGCATCGCTGGGAAGTTACTCAGCTGGGGCTGCTGTAACTTTGGGATTAGTGGCATTTATAAGCACGTAATACTCTTCTGGCCATAGCAGGCATCAGAAGAACCAGCCAGGCTAAATGTCACAAAGGGGGATTTGGAACTTAATGACTCAGAAACAGCAATTAAAGTGTAATCACGAGTCAATGTTTGAATGTAAGACAACAGATACCATACAAGCCTGTCACATGACAAGTAACTTAAATGATGCCCGAAAAGTTTTCATTATCAAAGCAAGCAGAAACGCAGCTGAATTCGCTCTGTTCATCGCAGACCTTCGCAACGCAGCTTCTGAGAAAACATCCCCTGGACTTACAAACCGCTAACAAACCCAGCCTCCTGCTGTGCCCTGGCACACCCCGATGGGGCACCTCAGCCACCCGGAGATGGCGGGGAGGCTTGGCAACAATTTGCTCACTTCGATAAGCAAGTTTTTGTCCGACACCTACCTGTTCGCCTTTTGCTTTAGGGACAACTCTTTTATCTTCCATGTCACACTTGTTTCCTAACAGCATCCTCTCCACATCTTCATTGGCATGCTGGAACAAGACAAGGGACAGGTTTACACGTGGAAGAGGAATGGGACAACAGCCACAGGTTTGACGCAGTTCTATCACCATCCCAGTTATTTCTCCCCTTCCTTTTTATTTCTGTAGTTTCAGTGTGACGCCTTCCTTTCTGAACAGGACTAAGTGTCGTTCTGCAAACCAGATCCTTGGAGGTGACGACACCAGCCTACCAAATCTTCGTTAGTTTGTATTCAGTGACGTGGGAAAACAATCAGCTTCCTCCCTGGCACTTGGAGGTGTCAGGTTTTACACACACTACACAAGCACACTACAGAAACAACGCTACAAAACATTACAGGACAAGAACCCCAAGGCTCCAGCTGCCAACACCCAAGGTTGATGTACTGGCATGGCTCCAGCTGACACTGTTTTTTGGTGTTTAAAGGTTCCTTTGCATAGTTTTATCGTAGACAGCTAAGTCTTCTTAACAATTGCAACTACGCTTTCAGCCACTGCAAAGCCAAATAACCAGGCAGTTAGGAAAAAACCCCTTTTGCCTGTAATTTTTTTAGGGGAGTTCCCAAAGGGAAATTACAGCTCTCCAGCATCATGCTGTCGCTCTGATGTTGCGCCATCAGACCAAGACCACATGTCAGCTTTGTGCTTTAGCTCTGCTGAGAACTCAACCCAAGCTGAGAAGCTCACGCGGGGCAATGGCACGCAGACTGTACACCCAGCAAACACCACACAGGCCACCCCAGAGGGAAACCTGCAGTGAGCACCACGCTGCTGCTCAGGATCCAAAGAAAAGCAGGACCATGCAGCAGGGCATCACCTTTGCCAGGCAAAAGCAAGCGCCAATGCTTTCTCAAGGGATGCTGAATGAGCAAAAATACCTCGGCTGTTCAGTTATTGACGCACTGCCAATATCCATCATTGCGAGGAAAGAATACACCAAAGACATCCACCAGACGAGCAGAAAAGCTCCAGCAGCCACAGCACACAGCATTGCTTAAGTGGATAACTGAAGTACTTTGAAACCTGCCAGGAGAAGCTTCCTGGAAAGCCTAATCTGAATCTACTTTCACTCCAATGGTCTTAAAAGTACTTTACGGTAGAATTACTCATAGAACTACTGAGGCAAGAGATCCACGCACGCAGTACTCCTGCTGGCAGTAACAACTCGTTTCACGTCCCTCAGGACAATCACCCCCAGACTTTTTTTCTTCAGGTCACAAGGAGGAAGAGCAACCAGACCCAGAAAACATCAACTTTCCATATGCACTAAAGTGCTGACACAGCAACAGACATCGTTCAAGTCCTGCCAGCCCCAATGTACAAAACCGAGCACTTGAGCAACTCGACTAATTCCTACCAGCCCAAAGCAAAAGTGCATGGCATGGTTCACCTCCACAGAAGTTGGGACCTTAATTATTTAAGTATTTAGCAGGAGTGAAGGTGTGACACTGTTACACATCTCCTGCTTTCCTGGCTGTTTCTGAACTGGGGGTAAGTACCCTGGAGAAGAGCCTCCTTCACAGAACTGCAATTCAGAACAGCAGCTTGCTACTGAGAATTCTCCTCCTGGAGAGAAAATCCTTGGCAGCATTAACTCATTGTAAAACCAAAGCACTTAGCTGCTTCATCCACAATCATCATCTGCAATAATGATGAGTGGGTAGCGCCTGTCATACATTTTAGCGAGGAGCCTGATCACCAGAGCTGGAACCTCAGGATGAATCCATCCGTCATTTTTGCAAATGCACTCCACTAGTGAGATTCTTCCACAATAAAAAAAAAACTTCCTAAGGTGCCAAACATCCCCTGTAAAACTGCAGTAACCAGGCAGCCTTCACAATGCGCCTGACATCAGCTGCAGAGGTTTGTACGACAGATCTGAAAACATGAGCTCAGCAAACACACTGGGCTCTCAGACACAACGGTATGAATGACATCCATTACCCAGCTTCCCGCATACCACTGAATTTTTAAAATGAAGCAACTGCAGAATGTAAAGGCCCTGGTTTCAAGTTTATACTCAGCTCGCCGCAGCTTCTTCTCTCTTCTGTGCTGTCTTATTTCTCCCCTGCCCCCTTCTGTACCCCCCCAAATGTACACCTTTCCACAAACAGAGCAGTTTCCCATCTCTCACTAGGAAACTAAAGGCCCAATATTACATTTTGGCTCTGTAGGAGCCTTTCACCAGTCTCAGTGCTTCAACTGTCAACGCCTGACAGCACCCATCTGCTGACACTCAGTTCTACAGGGCCATCCTCGTGCTTTCTAGGGAAACAATGAGGCTGGAAAATCCAAACATTTATTCCATTTGGGAATAGCACAACAAGGGCAAGGACTAACAGCTCCCACACCTCAGAACTCCCGGAGAATGAACTCTTGGGGATCCAGGCACTGAATTTTTCCCCATCAGTTGTGTCTGCTTCACTTGACCTCGCCTGAAGTTGTACCAACCTCCTTGTTGGGTGCACTCCTCCAGCCCTGACAGAATCAGCTAGGCAGGTTTGAGTAGTTTGCACCAACAGCAGTTTCTATCCTACCTCTGACAGCCATGAGGAACTTGCAAATATTTCCTGACACCAACTTTGAGGGAGTGGAGGTGATTGTATTTAATTACCTTTGAGGATTTACAGAGTCGTTGTAATAAAATAGGTTACTACTAGAAGTAACATATTCTATAGCTACTCATGGCTTAAGCGTTCCTCCTCTGCACAGCACCTGTGGTGGCAGCTCCTCCTGGAAACTCCAACTCCCAGTTACTAGAAGGTGTATTCCTTACCTCCAGGTATTCTCCAGCACAGAAACCAAGTTTGCTGAGGTATGAATCTGACATTTGAGGGCACCACTAGCCCCTGTAGTGTTGCAACCCTTCACACCGATGTTCAAGGGAGAGGTGAGGAAGGGAGCATAGGACAGCTGAGGAAACCCAAACCCATGTTAACTGACACCTTCGGCCAGGGTAAAAGCAGAAGCTGAGTTCTGTGGGACTCATCACACGCTCTGTCATAACAAACAGTTCCATTTGGGGATCTTACAAACATTACTCACCTCATCTATGTTTCTGAGCCACTTGCTGATGTTTTCAAAGCTCTTGGCGTTGGTGATGTCATATACTAGCATGATCCCCATGGCACCTCTGTAATAGGAGGTGGTGATGGTGTGAAATCGTTCTTGCCCTGCTGTGTCCCTGTAGAAAACAGACAACAGGAATATCAGAGGACAGCTCTAAAGAAAGCAGCATGGTACATGGTGTGCATGGCCTGGGACAAGCTCTGTTTGACCGCTGCCGAGGATGTGCAATGTTTTCAAGGAACGGTAGGACACGCTCCGGTGTGCATCAGCAGCATCTCCAAGGAAGGTCCACTCCCTCCCAGGTGTAGCTGAACGCCCAGAGAACAAAAAGAGCGAGTTTCGGTAAGCCAGGCTCATGAGGGTGTAGAAACTTAGGGTCTGAAGTTTCTCTTTTGGATTTTACTTTAAAGGGAATTGTTTTTTACAAACACATTTGAGAGTCAACTATGACAGAGACAAAAGACCCCAGACTGCTTAACAGGGTTCATACGACTGAGGACATTGGAACGGGCTGCCCAGGGAAAGGTGGAGTCACCGTCCCTGCAGGTGTTCAAGAAACATGTAGATGTGGTGCTTAGGGACATGGGTGAGTGAGTTGTCGGTTGAACTTGACGATCCTTGAGGTCTTTTTCCAACCTTTATGACTAAGGTGGCAGAAGATGAAGGTATCTCTTGAACAGCAAAGCCGTGGGCTGCAGTAGGTCTTCTGGTACACTACCACAATAAGTAAACTCAGTATCCAGTTGTGGTAGAAATTTGTTCATCTTAAATTTTGTATTTTTATTGACACGTTGAAACTTGCACCCAAAAGGAGAAACTTCCATTGCCAAGTCTCATATCTCAGGGAAGTGTCTCAAAGATTTCTGAGCCTTGGTGGAAGCCAGTAGAGGAAAGCATAAAACCAAGAAATGCTCTACCAACACTGAGACAGGAGTGTGAGCTCCAGCAGTGGAAGCATCTGAACAACCCCAGAAATGTCACTGTCCCAGACACTCTCTTCTGTTACTGACCAGTTCTTCCCAAATGAACGTAAAAACTAAGCCACTTTAAAACTCCAGCTCCAATTTTTAAGTTACACACCATAACCACTGAGCAGCCTGATTAGCCATGGCACAAACCCAGCTGACCCAGTACCCAGTTTGTGTGAGAAGCTCCCAAAACGCTGGAGGTTGTTTATCAGTGCCGCTGTCACAAGTGGAGAGTCTGTAAGTGTGACCAGCGATGACCTGACCCAACCACCCAGCCAACACCACCATGATGCCCGAGAAGATCCCTTTCCATTTCAGCAGGTGCTGAGCAGCCCCAGAGACAATCACTCAACGTTTTCTGGAACTCAGACTTAACACCGAGAGGCATTTTGTTTTCAGATCAGTTTTATAAAGCTTTAACATGATCTTACAAATGTATCTTCCTGAAATTCTAGATCAAAGTGTATGACAAATGAATCTAGGAGATGTACTGTAACATTAAATTGGTGATTTCTATAAGCAATATACTGAAAATGGATCATGCCAGTATGTATTGTCCCCTCTCGTTCAGAGATCTTTGATGGAACGCATGAGATTTGGCTCAACAAACCTGCAGGCCATTAACTTGAGAATCCGGAGTTAACTGCATATCCTACAGCAGCTCTCAGAGGCCATACACCTAACAGATGACATGTTTATCGACAGCTTTCAGTGACACTACTCACATAAACCAGACACGGACCTGCTGGAGCAGGTCCAGAGGAGTGCCATGAAAACGATCAGAGGGCTGGGACACCTCTGCTGTGAGCAAAGGCCGAGACAGTTGGGGTTGCTGGGGCTCTGACCAACCTGATTTAGTTGAAGATGTCCCTACCCATGGCAGGGGGCTGAGCTAGATGACTTCTAACGGTCCATTCCCACCCAAACCATTCCATCATTGGATTATTCTATGAGAAAGTAGAATAAAAGGTCTTTCCAAATTTAACCTGGTCTCAATTGAGATGACACACTCCCTCACCGCCTCCAGAGAGGCACAGTGTTCCCCCCTGACCCACAGACCCACATTTCCTTGCTCACAAACCAGTAACCTCAGAACAATGACAGACTGCAGTTTTGAACGAGTTCAACTTGTTTCCTCTCAACTGCTCCCGAGGTCAGAGCAAACACCTTGGCAGGACACGGATACCACCAGGCACCGAGTCCTGTGAAAACTCAGCTCTCCACCGCCCCGTCACCTACCGTTGAACCAACAAATTCCAGTTGCCAAATCAATTTGTTCAAGGACACGTCAGATTTCTGGCCAAGTATCAGCTGGCAAATGGGGAGTAAATGAAAAGCCTCGAAAACTGAAGATGCCATGGAGGAAAAGTTCCCAAGATGCAGGGGAAACACTCTACAAAGCTTCTTTGCAAAGAGTTTTACCAGCTCCTGTTTGGCTCAGCCCCCAGATCACCGTTCTAACACACGAGAGCTGCCCCAGAGGCTGATTGCTCCCCATCTTTTATTTCCTCCTAGGTGACGACAAACAGCAGGAAGAGGGCAAAGAGCAGAGGAGGAAAAACAGGGGCAGGTCCTAAACCTGAGCATCACGGTGTTCAGAGATGTTCTACCAGGCTGTGCTGCACAGAGGAGGTCTGGCTCGCTGGCAGTAGCCTCGAGAGGCAATCTAGTCCTCTCCCCAGCTCTACAAAATGTTCAGCGATACCCAGGTTATTCCTGAAAGATGCCTGATGTGCTGTTGGAGATCTCTGACAACTGCTGGCTTGAATCCCCCTCTCTCATTTCCTTTCCCTTTCGGAAGTTTCTTCTGATGGCACACTTGGGCTTTCCTCAGTGCAGATTAGGGCTATCAATCCTTCTCTTACTCTTCATAGGTTATTAGAGGAGTTCATTTCCCTTCTTTCTACAATTATTTTTTCCATACATGCTCTTGCACCTTCCCTGAATTTTCTCAAGCCACCGCAAGTTCTTTAGACCTCACTCACTGGCCAAAGCCCTAACATACGCAGCCTCACCTAGACCTCTCTCTGTACTCCCTCCAATCTGCCCACGTCAAAGCCAAATCCAGGAAAGGACTCCAGCTGAAGTCTCACCAGCCTCATACAGGAATATTTTCTAGCAGACTTGGGCATGCCTCTTTGCACACCGCACAATAACCATACTCTATTCCCTTAACCCAACCATTACAGAAAACACCGCCGATCGTGAAACTCAGGACAGACTCCTGCAAAATATCTCAACAGAACTCTAACTCCTCGTTTATCTTCTCTCGCCATGAGTTTTGTACACACTTGATAGCATCTCCACTGAAGTACTTTCCCCCTGCTTATATCAAGCAGGACAGTGGCAGAAAAGCTTCATCAAAAACATCAAGACGTACTGCATCTGCAATCTCTCTCCCCCCCGACAAGGCCAGTGGCTGTTACTGTAAGAATTCAGATTGATTTTACACAACTTGGCACTGGTAACACTTAGTTGTTACTCACTGCTTGTCACATCCTACGCACCGACAACTACCTCGCTTAGTTAACTCCTCCTGTGTTTTTTCTGGCAACTGCAGCTGAGCTAATGGATGAAAAGAAAGCTGGGGAAGGAAAAAACAAAAAGAACCTGGAGTGTCTCCCCCCCTTTTTTTTTTAAATAGGTACTCTCTCTGCCCTTTCCCCTTCTTAATGGCTTCTCCATTCATTATTCAGAGATAACTCTTAATGGACGCGAGATTAGAGAACTGACTGCAGCAGACAGAGGAAATGAGTGATGGCTTTCAACCTGCCCACCCTGACCAAACGGCAGGAGACAATCGGAGACCGCATGCCTCCTTTACTGCCCTGCCTTTCCATCCTTTGTTCAAACCTGGAGGATGTAAGAATAGGCTCCAAAGCCATGGGTGTGCAATAAATCCTTGATGTAGGTAAACATCTGTGGGAGCTAGCTAGTGCTCTATGCTAAAATAAACGTAGACAAGGACTGTTAAGATCGTCCAGGAAAATGAGGCTCGACTGCACAAGAGGAAACGGAGACCTCGGTTTGTTTAGCTGCAAAATGAAGACAAAGAAGGTTGTCCTGTGGGAGCAGGGCAAGGAAAAGCACAAGGAAAGTGAAAACCTATTTAAATTATTCTCATGCCAACACTAAATTATGTATAAGCTATATCATATCAGAAGTTTAACCAACAGAGAAAGGAATTTCTGGGACAGCTTTCCAGTTGACCTAGCAGAGACTAAAGAAACCTTAAAATGTACTGTGATTTCTTCATTAAATATTTACACGGATGCAACAAAAAGATTATATGTGATGATCTGTGAAGATCCTCCCAGTCCACACAGCTCAGAATAAAGGTCTTCAATGTATTAAACCAAATAATCCCGCGCAAAAATAATCCTAAGGATTTTATTACTGTCCCACTGTTTCTTTTATAATATTTTTTAAACTACGCAGCAGAATACTGCACTGAAGAATCACAGAACCATAGAAAGGTTTGGGTGGGAAGGGACCTTAAAGCCCACCCAGTGCCACCCCCTGCCATGGGCAGGGACACCTCCCACCAGCCCAGGTTGCCCAAAGCCTCATCCAGCCTGGCCTTGAACCCCTCCAGGGATGGGGCATCCACAGCTTCTCTGGGCACCCTGGGCCACTGCCTCACCCCCCACACAGGGAAGAATTTCTTCTTGATATCTCAATGTCCCCTCTTTCGGATTAAAACCATTCCCCCTCGTCCTGCCGCTGGGTAAAAGACTTTCATTCACAAAGGAACGTCTGTAAGATACTTCATGACCAGCAAGTTTCAGCTTTTCTGAAAAAACATTCAGCCAGAAAAAAAAAATTCTGAGTGAAGTATCTAATTGTTTGTAGGCAGTCAGACTGACATGCCAAAAGAGTCTCTTCCACCTTGAGCTGATGAACAAATGGTCTCAAAAGCTCTCAGAGGCAAGAGTTAATTTTTGGATGTTCCTAGGGTAACTGCAAAAATGAACGCGACTGAGTGTACCCTGGTTAATGGTGCTGTCCGCAGCTTTCGCTGTTCACCACCACACTCAGTAAATGCCAGAACCTGCCCCTAACAGGGAATTTCCACCTGGGGAACTATTTCGGACAGCTGTGCTGCTGCACATTTCGTTCACCTGCACAGGTGTTCCAGGTCGGATGATTATTTTTGCAACAAGGTTCTGGAGCCAGAGATCACATCTGTCTATTTTGCAGTCCCAAACAGACCGTTCCTCCGTGAAATCCCTTGGGAGCCTGCCTACATCTGCAGCTACCACAACATCTGGTGCTGGGGAGTTACCTTCATCTCCTCGTGTTCTGCCTGTGCCACCTTCTAGCCCTGCGCTAGAGCTAACGTCCTGGTACTGGAGGAGGCGATGAGTTATATCAATCTCTACCTACCTTTTCCAGCACACTCATGATTTTAAAAAAAGCACTTGGTCACCTCCCTGGCATCCCGAAGAACCCTAATCTTTCCAGTTGTTCTTCCTAAAATAGCTACGACACCCCTCTGATCATCCCCCTTGCCCTTTTCTTCCCCAGGCACGCTAATCAAAGCTGTATGTTATGTTAGATAGACTGGGACACTTCCTTCCCTTCCCACCGGAAATTATCGCATCCACTGTATCGGAAAAATCACATCTAATTTTTCAGTTGCTGCATTATGCTAACAAGTTTAGTGAATTACAGGATGCCTAAGCCTTTTGGTTTCCATTTCAAAGCAATTCTATCCAAGTTCCTGGAGTGTACGATAATACACTCTTCCTAGCTGAATTTTCAGCTCTACTACTCTCATCCTCAAGAGCATTTCAACTCTTTTGCAATGATAACACCATCTTTTCCCGGAGCAATAATCTCCTTTTTACGTTTTTTCTTTCTTCTCCCTTCTCTGTACTGTGATCATTACTAAGAACATGAATATTCTTCAACACATTCATCGGGGTCAATCCTTCCAGCTCCCACCCTTTTAAGTATTTCTACTCCCAAACCTTCACTCCCAAAATCCTTTCTCCCAAATCCTGCGCTAAGCCCCCCATATGGCACCGTACCATATATTGTCACACCAACAATTCTTCCAAACAGACAAGCAGCACAATAACCTAACCAACCAGATACTCGATTTTTCTAGACATTTCCACCAGTGTCCCACGCTACCCCGTCCCACCATGCTCCTTGTCCCAGCCTCCCCTCTCCCCATCTCAACATCACCTTGCCACAGGCACCTTCACATTTGGAGCAGTATGAAAAAGCTCTAATCCAAGCTTGATCCTTACCCAACAGCAACCCCACTTTTTAATAGCTACGGAGTATCAAGTTGCTGATCACCCCTGGCAAGGTTTAGCTCAGCTTGACCTTTGTATTCCTGCGTTACGCCTATATATAATTTTAGAGGTCAAGGCACGACTGAGATCCTGCCACGTCTGCTCATTTTCCGTACCCAGGAAGAGGCAGGTAGCTATCCTGCAGGGTAGGAAAGCAGCAGAGGTGTATTAGAAAGTGACAGTTTTACCTGTTTTCTGTAAAACTAATCACCCACTGAGACTGCACGCCCACCCCAAGGAGCAGAAGGTCCGTAACTGCCAGGTCTGTTCAGCCGCCACTTCTGCCCGGGATGGCTCACTGAACACCGCTCCTTCACAAACACCGAGCAACTCTTCTGTAAAGAAACTCTGTCCTATTTGGGAAATGGCTAACAGATACTAAGTTCTTTAAGGTACAAAATTCTGTTACCATCTGTCATTTTGCAAACAGATGAATGTCACTATTCAAAAAAAAAAAAAAAAGGATCTGGACACAAGCAAAGCAGCAAGAACAGCCTCGGGTTTACAAGGGAAGTGTTCCACTGAACGCATCCCTTGCCTACTAAACCACTGCCACGGGAGCGAAGTGTAGTTCTGGAAATACATTACACCACTCCTCGCAGCGCAGGGAGAGTTTAAATGCAGGAAGCGTGGGTTAAATATAGATGCATTGCACAAAATATCCTCACCAACAGACACTAGTGCTCTAGCCACCAAACCACTGCTGGGCAAAACCCCTTGTGCAGGAAGACTTGGAAACTACAAAGCCTAGATTTTCTTTTTTATTTATTTTTCCTTCCATCAAATGCATGTACCGCAAGAACTTCATTTTCTGCTTTCCAATTTTCATTTCATATGAAATGTTAAACTGGGAGGAACCAGAAGCAGCTTCAGGCAATGACCTCCCAACTTGGCAATGTTTAAAAGCTGCAATGTCATAAAACTCAGCTCACCCAAACTCCTCTTCGTTTCTCTAAGCCATTAAACCCCACAATGCATACAGCTTCATTAAGGCTTGCTTCTTTGCCTAGATACACACTGAACATCCTCATTTTGCCGTATTTTCAGTGTTTACGTTTCATGATGACTTTTTCCTACGTTGAATCTAACACTTGAAGTCACTCCAATGTTTTGTTCTATTTTTCTATGCCACAGTAATTCAGAGCACCTGCCCTGTTGGGGTAAAAAATACGACAAAACAATTGCTGGAAGTTATGGTTTGATGCGGGTTGAAAATCTGGACGTTCACAGTCTGGTGAACTCACCCAGAAGAGCCGCCCAGCTAGTCAATCAATGGAGCTGCATCACACCTGAATGCCTCTTCAGCTGAAGCTCTCAGTGCCTTCCTCACCACTCTGCTCTCAGCTCCCATTGATCTACACCCATCCTTCCTCAGCTCCGCCTAAAGCATCGCCCTTCGGAAGACCACTACCCTTTGTGGCTCCCCGCTGAAGCAATCCCACGTGCCGAGTTCCTTCATCATCCAAATGTCTCCTTATCTACCAGCTACGGAGTTTATACAACAAAAGCCAACCTCCACAGCTCCTTCCCTTGCAGGGCACAAACCAGAGTAACTCAGTTGGCCAACTTCTGCTAAGGAGGTGCTCACAGGACCGGGATATGGGAAACAACCAGGAGACACGGTGCTCGCTCGGAGTGGTGGTAACAAGAAGGATTCAGAATGCATTCGTTAGGAAGGATAATTATTCAGCTGGTCCTACGGCATTGGAACGACCGCCCAGAGAGAGGAAGACAATTGCCTCCTAACTGGAACCCATCCATCCCCACCTACAAACGTCAATGTTACCAAGCCAGAAAAGATTTTTATTAGTGGGGGACAAAATGGACTAATTTGAGTTCTAAACAAAGTTCTGAACTCTGAGTAAAGAGAGTGCACCAGCAATATGAGGTCTGAGGAGGGTCTAAACATGAACAGAGGCTAGGAGACGCCGTTAGCTTTTCTGACCTGACTTGTTACAGAGCTATTAAAACAGAGGAAAAATTTCTAGTTAGACATGCACAGCAAGCTAAAAGGACAGAGTTTAAGTTCTGCCTCATGTTAGACCTTCCAACAGAAAAGCAGGCGTGTTTTCAGCCAGCTAACAAACTTTCCACAGTTTCAAAAGCCATAGAAGAAGCGCAGATGTGGACTGTACTTTCTTGCTGACACAAAGCAAGGCGACTAGTCAAATTATAGTCACACAGGCAACTCCTCATTTAAAACTCCAGTTTGAAAACATCTCCCACTAAATCACAGACTGCCAGGATCCTGTCCTCCCAAACAGGAGATTGGCCCACAGCCTGTCCAAAGGCAGCAGTCAGCGACAGCGGTTACAAACCCGACACAGATCTTTTCCCCTTTTCTTGAAAGCAGTTCAGGTGAATACACACGGAGCGTTACCACTACTGGAAACACAAACCACAGTTAGGAAATAAGATACCTGAATGTCAGCTCAGAAAGTTAAACTCTTCTCATGACAACCTGCTGCGGAAAGAAGCCATCCAGAAGGATGCCGCCCATAGCTACTTGGGAAATTTACTCACCATATCTGTAGCTTGATCTTCTTTCCTTGTAATTCAACAGTTTTAATCTTGAAGTCTATCCCTAAAATAAACAAACACATAAAAAAGTAATTAGTATTTATCTACAAAAGAGTAATTCCACATCAACCCACAACTGCTCCAGACAGAACAGCCCTTTTCCTCTTCTTTTACTGGATCATCAGGGAAAGCAAGGATGTCCGAGGAAGTTGGAACGCAAGAGGAGCCCGACGATCAACGCAAACAGGCCCTCAAAGGGTCTACAGCCGGTCACTGGGCACCTCCCAGTAACACTGTGAAGATGATCTGGCTTGTAAAAGCTTTGAAGCTCCTTGCTTATTTTTAAGAAAGAGAAATACCATTATTTTTGCAATTTTTTCTGGAGACCTTCCAAAAAAGAAGAAATTTGGGAGTTTGGGTATAAATTTAAACATCCTCAACAAAATAGGAAGGAAGGCAAGTTATCAGTGTACGTTGGCACCCAACCGCCACGTCTCTTCGTCCGGGTCCAGCCCTGCTCCAGTCTCTGACGCGGTACAGGCAAGGGCAGGATTCGACAGGAGCGCATCTCCACGACTCTCAAAACTTGGAGTAATCAGAGACCACCTTGACAGAGCATGAGTAAGGTTGTGTACTTTTAATACCAACAAATACAAAATAATTCACCTGGTAATTTGTTAAATGGTACTGCAAGGAAGTCTGTTCACTACAGGATTTGCAGGGACTGACTGAAGAGAAGAGGAAGGAGAGCTGTCCTGAGAAGACTTAGGAAAGAAGAAACTATCAAACTGAAGACAGATCCTTAGCTGAGATCTGTACTGCAACCACTATTTGATATTTTCATTATTAATTCTGGACAATAAATTGTCCCATTTGAGGTCTACTGCTTACGAAAGTGAGAGGCAGTGCATAAAGGATGATTAAAATAAGAAACTGATAATCTTGGAGAGAGAATAAGAACAAGGGAGGGATGGAAGCAGTACAAAACACAACATTACATGTCTGTTACCTAAGAATTTCTTCTGGGAAACACAATTTCTGCTGTTTTCAGATGACAAAGAAGAAAGACTAAAGGCCTAATAACCACAATCCAATGGAGAGGCCACCCTAGAACAGGCAAATGCAACGTTGCAGACACCTGGTGAGAGATTTCCAGCCGCAGCAGGGAAATATGAACACCCTTGTGCAAGACCCTGGTGACAATTTCTGCACCCTGTAGGAGCCCAGCGCCCTCCCCCAGAGCAGACGGGCTCACACCTGGACAGAAGCCATGCAGGAGAAGCCAGCGTGAGGATGCCTCCACCAGCTCCTCCACAGCAGAAGAGGCTCAAGGACCAGGTATTGTTTCAACGTTCTTTTGCTAAAATTGCCTATGAGAATTATCAGCACAGACTACACCCCGTGGAGCAGGAACTCTCCAAGCCATCTTCTCAAAATGCTCTGACACTAATTAGACGCCAGAGCTCTGACCTCCAATTCAAATCAGAGAAACGCTGCTGCTAATTTTTCATGCTTTCCAAAAATCTGTTTATATTTAGACTTTTTAAAAGGCAGCAGCTGCAATCACAAACTTCCCTCCTAAATCTACAAGGTCATTGTATACCAAGTGAGATTAAATATAATTTATTAAACACACTATTACATAAGAAATCTAACTGGGAAGTCTGCCGTAAACTCCACCAAGTCCAGTTCCTTTTAGCTCCATATACTGCACGCGCTATTTCATTCTAACGTTGAAATATTAAATTAGTAAAATCTTTTTACATAAAAATCAGGATACCAGAGCCTCTCTGGGAAAGGCTACATGATTTTAGATGGGGGTGGGAAGGAGAATCCCCCTCCCACAGGCCTGTGTGAAGGGAAGGAACAGGGACGGCAATTGCTAGAGGGACACCTACCATACACGCAGCCAAAAAGGAAAACGCAGAGTAACCCTGAAATGGATACCAAACGCAGCTCCTCACGGAGCCTCTTCCAGTCACCAAGCATTCCATAAACACGAACTGGAGTGTAAAGGGGCAAAATTCCCCATTTCTAGGGATTTAAAGCAGTACAGTGACCAAAGGTGGAGGTTGTCCACTGATTCTAGGACGTCAGCTTGGGACCTTCAGACCCGTTTCAGGTCAGAGCTCCCTTTTTCCAGTTAGCCAAAGCCATGCTTCATCACTCATCTCCAGCGAAATTCATGAGCCAATATAGCCAGTATCATACGTATGTGGTTTGAAAAATAAACCCGCTGAATGATTAATAGGCAATACACAAAATCACTCCAAATACACTTAATTATCCCCACATTTTGCAGCATTTAACAAAGTTGTTTGCTATGATGTAGTGCTCCCCAGCAACGCGAGCAGACCAGTGAATACAGCACTTGCCAAAGGATCATCAATAACAGTATTTTGACACTCACTTTCAGGGCTCTGCCCAGATAAAGCAACATGTTTGACAGCCACTTTTTATGCGTTAAGTAAACTATTAACCCAGCCAAGGAAATTAACTCTTCTCTGCACCAAAAAGGATTTAGCTAACTCTAGTATTTGGGGATAAAACAAATCTCTAATCCCATGTTATACTCAGCTTCCACTCCAATGACAATATAATACTAGCTCAGCCTTCATAACAGAAAGGCTGTTATAAATAGCAACAACTATTCGCCTCCAAATACTTGCAAAGTAGTTTTAACAGACTAGAAGAGCCAGAATGCTGTGTGGCTGGAGTGTCCATCCAGCTCTCGGCCTGGCTGAGGAAGTCACCAGCAGAAACACGAGGGCTTCAGAGAAACAGGGAACAGGCACGGAGAGCTCCCAGTAACGGGAGGGTCAGGAAAGAGTTTAAGAGGGCAACGGGTATAAAAATGGAATGGCATGCAGAATGGACAATTACAATCACGGGAGGACAATGACAGAACTAATGAATTAAAGATGAGCATGAAATTACTCCCTCATTAAGTGTCGATAAGATATGCATCAACAGGGCAAACTGGAATTCAGAGAAAAACCTGGATGTCTACTGCCAGCCTAATAAACACTCAATGTAACTCCATATTTTCAAATAAAGATTTGGAAATGTTTGTATCTCTTCTGTACAGCTCCCACAGTCTCCTTACTGGCAGATCACCCCAGGTTTCGTGCTCACTTCTGCATTTCCTTCCAGTCTCCTACCAGTCGCTTAGAGCAATATATGGGCTGAGGTCTCACCAAAAACTGAACTCTTGGGTTTAAAAAGCTATTTATGGATTCTTTAGGTTACTGGTCTTTGAGCATCAAGGCTTAAAAAGTGGCATTAGTTGTTCTCATGGTATGTGCAAACAGGTTCTGCCCTTACACAAATATTGGGAGTCACTTCTGCCCCGTCGCTGCAAACACGCGGACCAAGAGGAGTTTCAGAAGCTGGAGGCTCAGAGCTGTGCATCATGCCACTGAAGTCACGCTCTTCAGCCCCTCCGTCAGCAGAGGCTATTGTCAATGATTCCCGACAAAGCATTCCGCCTTTATTTGTGTAAGTTTCACTATCTTGGTGAATACAGAAGTATTTGCTCAACGGTTTTGCGTTTCCACTGCTCTCGGACAAAAGACATTAATGAAGACCCAGGACTTGCGTCAGCAGAACAGCGTGTTTTAAATCCATAATCTCTGCATCCCAACACTCATGTATCGCTTTACACCTCCTCAAACCCCTGCGACATTAATGAAGCCCCAGGACTTGCGTCAGCAGAACAGCGTGTTTTAAATCCATAATCTCTTATGTTTAAATCAACACTCATGTATCGCTTTACACCTCCTCAAACCCCTGCCAGGGTTTTGTAAAGATCTCTCTTCTGTTGCTAAATCACAAACCAACTGCTCCGGAAAAGCGAAAAGACAGCATCAAGCACAAGAGGGAGGGGGAAAAAGGTCTTTTCCAGTCCATTTCAGAGCTACAAATGATGAGCTAGCCCTTTTCAGACAGCATGAATTTTGTTTGCATGCCTTCCAAACAAAGACACCATTCAGCTCGGTGAGGATGCTGGGCAGTAGGAAGCGGAATGTAGGGCAAGAGAGGGGCAACGCCGCAGCGCCAGGAGCCCGACAGTCAACCTGCATGTCAGATCCCAGCCGCTGCAGGCCGTAAGCAGCGTATGAATAAGTGCGTGGTGTATTTCAGTTGTTACTAACTGCTCTGCAAATATACTGTAACAGCACTGGGTATTTTCAACTCAGGAAAGAAAAGCAGATGTGCATAAATTCATACCTGAGTGTCTCCACGCTGCCCACCTCTGTGCTGCAGGCTCTGGCAACAGCAAGGATTTTTCTCAACAGCGTAATTCAACTGCAGCTATCGACGCTCAAATTAACACAGCAGAACTCAGGCCACATTCCAGTTTTCTGAAGAGCACCAGGAGGCATCCAGAGGGCCCCCTTCCCCGCAGCAGTGATCCTGACCAGGGTCAGCTCTGCAGCCTGAGCTCTTTCTCCAGGGGTTTGAGGGTGCACCTCAACATCCCCCGTGCTAATCCACTTCAAACAGCCAAAGCAAGGTGGAGCTCTTGCAAGCGCTTTCACAGCCACCCAATAATATAAACCTTATCTTTATAAAGACAGATATTCCAAAAAGTTAGGAATTTTTTAGAAATTCTAGCGTTAAAAAAAAAACAACAAAACAAAACCCAAAAAACTGACAAGGCAGAAAGAAATCTATCTGCTTTCTTTGAGTTAACAACTTTCATCTTCACGAAGTGAGAAGGAACACAGCCTCACGACCTACTGCACACTAACACAGAGAGGAGAACTGTACCATGCCTAGCTAGCACAAGAACACCACCACAGAAGCACAGAGAAAATTGTATCTTTCAGGTGTGTTTCCAGCCTACAGCAGGGTCCAACAAACAGCCCTAGAACGTGTTTATTTAAAAAGCAAAAAGGCAATAAAAGAAAACTTATCAACAGCAGGAAAACACAGCAGTAACTAAGCCTAGAAGATTTTAAAATTACAAAATTAACTTTGGGGCAGAGACCTTGTAGCACTTTTAGTCTTTTTACACAACTAGCTGGTGACGAGATCCCTCAGTCCTCGAGGCAGGTTTAT